AGTCAATGACAAAGAAAAAAATATTACAGCCCTACAAAGGAACCTCTATCAGGCTTTCAGCAGGTTTCTCAGCAGAAACCTTACAGGCTAGGAGAAAGCGGAATTACATATTCAAAATACTGAAAGACAAAAACTTTCAGTCAAGAATACTCTATCCAGAGAAACTATCTGTTAGATAGGATGGAAAATAAAAGCTTTCCCAGATAAACAAACGCTGAGGGAGCTCATTGCCACAAGACTCCCCCCGGCAAAAGAAATGATCAAGAAGTCCCTCATACCTGAAAAAAAAAAAAAGAGAAAGGATTCATGAGCAAGGAGATAAATAGCCAGACAAAATGAGAACATTTCAGCTCTCTATCAGAACAGGTTAGTAAAGACTTAATTACAACATTAAAGATAAAGGGAAGGAAAACATCAAAAATAAATATAATCGTGTCATTTTAACCACAAACTCACAACACAAGATGGAATAAGTTGTGACAACAATAACTCAGAAGGGTAAGAGGAAAGGGATGGAACCTTAGACTAAGGAAATAAGAGGCTATCATAAAATGGACTATCTCACTTATGAGATCTTTTATACAAACCTCACAGTAACCACTAAACAAATATTCAGAACAGAGACACAAATGACAAATAAAGAGAAAACCATCATAGAGACGAACCAAACTGAATTGGTAGTCTGAAATACACAGGATGAGAAACAATGGAAATACAGAACAACCAGAAAACGAGCGATAAATGGCAGCTTTAAGCCCTCATAAATCAATAATCACTCTAAATGTAAATGGATTGAATTCTCCAATAAAAAGACACAGAGTAGCTGGATGCATTAAAAACAAGACTCAACACTACGCTTCCTCCAGGAAACACACCTCAGCTCTAAGGACAAACACAGGCTCAGAGTGAAGAGATGGAAGACAATACTCCAAGCTAATGGCAAACAAAAGAAAGCAAGTGTTGCCATACTTATACCAGACAAAGTAGACTTCAAGATAAGAGACAAGCAAGGAGAGACAAAAAAGAGCAGTATATAATGATAAAAGGGACATTCCACCAAGAAGACATAACAATATCTATGCACCCAACATAGGAGCACCAAAGTACTTAAAGCAACTGTTAACAAACCTAAAAGGAGATATTAACAACAACACCACAATAACAGTAGGGGATCTTAATGCCCCACTTACATCAATGGCTAGATCATCCAGACAGAAAGTCAACAAGGAAACAGTGGATTTAAATGAAAAATTAGACCAGATGGACTTAATAGATATACATAGAACACTCCATCCAAAAACAGTCACAATACACATTCTTCTCAAGTGCACATGGAACATTCTCAAAGATAGATCATATGTTGGGAAACAAGGCAAGCCTCAATAAATGTAAGAAGACTGAAATCACATCATGCACATTTTCTGACCATAATGCTATGCAACTAGAAGTCAACTACAAGAAAAAAGCTGGGGAAGAGACAAATATGTGGATACTAAACAACATGCCACTGAACAACAAATGGATCATAGAAGAAATTAAAGGAGAAATCAAAAAATATCTGGAGACAAATCAGAATGAAAAGACACCATACCAACTCATATGGGGCACAGCAAAAGCAGTCTTAAGAGGGAAATTCATAGCAATACCACCTTAACAAACAAAAATCTCAAATAAGTAATCTTAAACTACATTTAACAGAACTAGGAAAAGAACAAACAAAGCTCAAAGTCAGCAGAAAGAGGGAAATAATAAAAATTACAGCAGAAATAAATGAAATTGAAACCAAAAAAAACCAGTAGAAAGGACCAATGAAACAAAGAGCTGGTTCTTGGAGATGATAAACAAAATTGACAAACCCTTAGCCAGACTCACTAAGAAAAAAAGAGAGAAGGCTCAAATGCATAAAATTAGAAATGAAAGAGGAGAACTTACAACAGATACCACAGAAATACAAGTGATCATAAGAGAATACTATGAAAAACCATATGCCAACAAATTGGACAATCTAGAAGAAATGCATAAATTCTTAGGCTCACACAAGCTTCCAAAACTGAGTCAAGAAGAAATAGAGAATCTGAATAGACCAATCACAAGAGATTGAAACAGTAATCAAACACCTCCCAAAAAATAAAAGTCTAGGACCAGATGGCTTCTCTGGAGAATTCTAACAAACATTCAACGAAGATTTAACACCTATCCTTCTCAAACTATTCCAAAATATTGGAGAACACTTCCTAACTCATTCTATGAGGCCAACATCACTCTGATCCCAAAGCCAGACAAAGACAACACAAAGGAGGAAAATTAAAGGCCAGTATCACTGATGAACATAGATGCAAAAATGCTAAACAAAATATTGGTAAACCAAATATGGCAACACATTTAAAAGATCACACATCATGATCCAGTGGAATTTATACCAGGGACGTAGGGATGGTTCAACATCCACAAATCAATCAATGTGACACACCACATTAACAAAATGAGGAATAAAAACATCCTGATCATCTCAATAGATGCAGAGAAAGCATTTGACAAGATCCAACAGCCATTTATGATAAAAACTCTGAGTAAAATGGGTATAAAAGGAAAGCACTTCAACATAATAAAGGCCAAAAATGACAAACCCACAGCCAACATCACATTCAGTGGGGAAAAACTGAAAGCCATCCCTCTGAGAAGAGGAACAAGACAAGGGTGCAGACTCTTACCACTCCTATTCAATATAGTACTAGAGGTTTTGGCCAGAACAATTAGGCAAGGAAAAGAAATAAAGGGAATCCAAATAGGCAATGAAGAAGTGAAACTCTCACTGTTTGCAGGTGACATGATACTACATATAGAAAATACTAAAGAATCCATCAGAAAACTATTAGAAATAATCAACTACCACAGCAAGGTTGCAGGGTAAAAAATCAACTTACAAAAATCAGGGACATTTCTATACTCTAATAAGGAACTAACAGAAAGAGAACTCAAGAACACAATCTCATTTACAATCGCAACAAAAAGAATAAAATATCTAGGAATAAGTTTAACCAAGGAAGTGAAAGACTTATAAAAACTATAAGACATTATTGAAAGAAATCGATGATGACATAAATAAATGGAAAGATATTCCATGCACATGGATCAGAAGAATAAACATAGCTAAAATGTCCATACTACCTAAAGCAATCTACAGACTCAAGGCAATCCCAATCAGAATCCCAGTGACATTCTTCACAGAAAGAGAACAAAGAATCCCAAACTTCATGTGGGGCAACAAAAGACCCTGAACAGCCAAAGCAATCCTGAGAAAAAAGAACAAAACTGGAGGCATCACAATCTCTAACTTCAAATTATACTACAAAGCTGTAGTAATCAGCCGGTACTGGTACAAAAACAGACACACAGATCAATGGCACAGAATTGAAAGCCCAGAAATAAAACCACACATCTACGGACAGCTGATCTTTGACAAAGGAGCCAAGAACATACAATGGAGAAAGGAAAGTCTCTTCAATAAATGGTGTTGAGAAAACCAGACAGCCACATGTAAAAGAATGAAGGTATACCATTATCTTTCACCATACACAGAAATTGTCTCAAAATGGATTAATGACTTGAAGGTAATATGTTAAACCATAACACTTCTAGAAGAAAATACAGGCAGTACACTCTTTGACATCAGTCTTAGCAGCATCTTTTTGGACACCATGTCTCCTCAGGCAAGGGAAACAAAAGAAAAAATAAACAAAAGGGACTTCATCAGACTAAAAAGCTTCTGCAAGGCAAAGGAAAACATCAACAAAACGAAAAGACACCCCACCAACTGGGAGAAAATATTTGCAAATCATAACTGACAAGGGGTTGATCTCAAAATATATAAAGAACTCATACAATTGAACAATAAAAAAGCAAACAACCCAACCAAAAAAATGGGCAGAGGATATGAACTGACATTTTTCCAAAGAAGATATACAGATGACCAACAGACACATGAAATGATGTTCAACATCACTAATCATCAGGGAAATTCAAATCAAAACTACACTAAGATATCACCTTACACCTGTTAGAATGGCTATAGTCACCAAGATAAAAAAACAACAAATGTTCGAGAGGATGTGGAGAAAACGGAACCCTCATACACTGCTGCTGGGAATGCACACTAGTACAGCCACTATGGAAAACAGTATGGAGAGTGCTCAAAAAATTAAAAATAGAAATATCATACAACCCAACTATCCCGCTACTGGGTATTCATCCAAAGAACTTGAAATCAACATTTAATGAGACTTATGCACCCCTGTGTTCATTGCAGCATTATTCACAATAGCCAAGACGTGGAAGCAACCCAAGTACCCACTGACTGATGAATGGATAAAGAAGATGTAGTATATATATACAATGGAATACTACTCAGTCAGAAAAAAAGACAAAATTATCCCATTTCCAACAATATAGATGTACCTTGAGAGTATTACGTTAAGTGAAATAAGCCAGATAGAAAAAGACAAACATCATATGATTCCACTTATATGTGGAAGATAAACACATAGACAAAGAGAATAGATTAGTGGTGACCAGAGGGGAAAGGCATGGGCATAAAGGGTAAAGGGGCAGATTTATATGGTGACAAATAATAATGTACAACTGAAATTTCATAATGTTATAAACTATTATGACCCCAATATAATAAAATAAAATAAAAAACACATATATACTTCTGAAAATTGAAAACTCAAAAGGGAAAATTTCCAAATTCTAAGTTTGGTAATAAAAAATTTTCATAAAGAAAAAAAAATCTTTCTAAGAAAAGGTTCATTTTTATCCTCATTTTTCAGGCGCACTTCACCACTGTAGAACCTCTCTCTCTCCCTCCTAATCAAGGTTAAGGGGCCCCAGAGAGCATTATGAGCCAAGAGCGGCCTTACAGGAGCAGACACAGGTCTGACTAGTGAACCCATTTCCCAGTCTGTGTTATTCGCACTGGACGCCCCACAGCCCAGCCCTACCTTCCACGCAGCGGCAGCCCTCCTGCAGCACGCGTGCATACATGTCCGCCCGGGACTGCGACAGCAGCTGGTCCCCGGTCAGGTAGGTGTTATGGGAGGAGGCGATGTAGTAGTTGCACAGTGGCTGCTCCATGTCCTGGAAGACCTCGTGGTGCAGCGGGTTGAACACATCACAGGCCGGGCTGCGCATGAAGCTGGTGAAGCCTTCGGGAGAGAGAGCAGGTGCTGTAGCTTCAGAGACAGTTATGCAGTGCCCGACAGGGGCAGCAGAGGTCAGAGGCTCCGAGGGAGGGTCTCGTCCACCCACAGGGCGCCTCTGCAGGGACACTGGGCAATGTGAGGTTGGCTTCAGGCCAAACAGTGTCAAAAACTGAAACGCCACTTTGGGGAGTAGCAGTTTAAACATAACCCACAGAAACACAGGCTTTTCAATTTTGACTGAGCGGGTGAGGGGGGCTTGCTGCCCAGCTCCCCAGCAGCCACTGGATCAGGCTGTGACTATGCAGTGTGGCCCAATGATGTGGTGCCAGCCATGTTTACTCTAAGTGGAACACTGATCCCATCAGCCGGCAACCTACTGGTTATCACACTGGCCTGAAAAACAGCCCGGCCAGCGCCATGTCAGGCAGCAGGTCAAAGGGCACGCACGGCCAAATTCAGGGTTTGATTGTCTGACTATGAAATTGGTTTGGGAAGATGCTGTTAATAGCCAGCACATTTGATGGCTGTGAAACAGTGCTTAAAGACTGCAGAAACCCTACCAGTTTTTCAAAACATAGTGCCTGGGTAGAAGAGGCACTCACTCGTATGCACACAAATACGGGAAAGCCCCACAAGGACCTAAGTGGGACAATTATTAGGGCAAATCGTTTCAAGCCTTCAAAAATTGTGTCTAAAACGTTATCTGTAAACACCCTCTGAGACTCTGCAGGGTTTCTTCACGCCCACCTTTACGGCTAGAACTTAGAAATCATGTTTAATTCCATCTCTTAAGGTCCCAGCAAGGAAAAGATTCATTTCTTATTAAAGAAAAGGTCCAAATTATTGTATCTTCTCTGGTTGTTTTTAAAATGGTTTTAAATGATATGTGTTATTTATATCCCTTGTCCACGCTGACCCTGTCCAGGGGACCGGAGGCCACAGTCAAGTCGGGAAGATGACCTGTGGCCATGGGTGGTGATCTGTTCTGCTGGGACCTGTTTATTTTCCCACAGATTTTAAATACACATAACTTATACACACATGCAGCTATATTCATATTATTTATGGGAAATCCTAGCAGCTAGACTCTGAGTATATAAATTTGTGGGCAAACCACTTACTTCTTTGAGCCTCACCTTCCTCAACTATAAAATAAGTTCATTATATTAAAGACATTTGTGGTTCCAACAACCTCTCCACCGCTACCAACCAGGTAAATCAAGTCTGTTGCCAACATTTTTAAAGAAACACATTTACATGCAAGTTACTCGTTTCATAGATTACTGATTTTAGGAACAAATTTCCCTTCATGAAATTACCAGCTTGAGGCTATTTCCAAAACTTAGCCATTTGAGAAAAGTCCAAATATTTCTGGGTATTTATCATACATAGTGGCATCAAGTTGACTTGCTTGGAGTGGAAAATGCACATCGTCATCGCAAAAGTAAGAGAAATAGCAGTATCACAGCATCTGTTTTGCAGGAAAATAAGTGTCTGCTGTGGGTCTCATTGGCATCATCCATAATTCCATAGCTATCTCCTGATTTCGTTTCCTGCAAACCTCGCTAGACTTTAACTCAGTGGACTGACTTGAGAAATGAGAAATTAAGAATACTGGTTACTTTACCTTCTATGCCAAGAACATTTTTCGCCTTATTTTCTTCTGAAACTTCAAATTTCCTTATGATGTCAAGACAATAGTCTGTTGTCACATTATTCATCTAAACGAAACAGAACATTAGTAGAGTACTTGCTATTTCATGAAATATTTTCCTCTGTGCTAAAAAGGTAGACTGACTTTTTAAGCATTCTCGACACAGTGCAAAGTGGTTAAATGAGCAGTGTTTGGGGTCACTAGTGTTATAGATACTTTCTCTTTGGAAAATGGTCACTATCTCAACTTTCTGACGCATCTTTCAGATTTAATCATGAAAACAGCCCTGCCACTGCTGGACAAATATTCTCCACGAAGCCATAAAATCAACAAAATCAAATCAATAATCAGTGCAAATCCACTGCCAAAAATTCACTCTCTATAAGCGACTCACTATCTGCAAAATTAACGTTTTCTACACAAATACTGGAGTTTGCTACTCGTAAATATATGCAGAAAGAAAATGATTCCCAACCAAAACAGAATGCTCTGGGTAAGTCCCCCAGGTGTGTGTCTATCAGTAGATCCTTCCACTGAACGGCGAGCACAGATTCCAGGAGACAGAGGTCAGTATGAGAAAGTAAAAACCAAAAGCTAGGTGAGGCGGAAAATCACAACAGAGAAATCAGCAAGCTCCTTTTGTTCGAGGTGATGCTGAGTATGTCTCTCACCTTCTCTGTGTCTACTTTGTAAGGCAGCTGTGAGCATTAAATGAATCAATATTTGTAAGAATAAAAAAGCCACGTACGCTGTTATTACTGAGTCTCTCTCAAGGCTGCTCCATGAACATTACAGACTTAGTGTCACTAGGAAAAGTAAACTCTTCAGGAATAATTTCTTCACTTAAATAGCAACATAAAGAATGCGATATTTTCATTAAAAATCCATTCAGCCCTACAACCTAACAATGATATTTACATACACTAACCAATAACAATAGAAGGAGAGAACTGGTGAGCCAGTATTTCCTATTTCAGTGATATTTCTCAGAGATTCCTTTATCTCTTAGGTTCAATACTTATGTTTTAGTGAAATCTAATTCTCCTAAATAGTCTATTTAATAACATTTAAAAGATTTGCAGGGGGAAGCTCTTTTACATGACTATTTTTTGCCAGTGTGAAAGAGCACAGAATGCTTTTCTTTTTTTCAGACTAGCTGCATAATAGCTGATGCATCCTTTGAGTAAGGTTTATAGTTCTCACTCAACTCAGAGGCCTACATCACCAGACACCACCAGGAAATACCGTAAGTGAAACCACACCACCTGCATGGACTTGACTAACCTGTCAGATTTCGAGCAGCTTGTGAATTTGTCTCCTATAAGCCAGAGAGATTTATCATATGCATTCTGAAAGATAAGTAATTTCTCACAAAATAAAAAGAACCATACTGATAAAAATTGTATGAGCCACAGGAGACTGAGTTTACACTGCAATCATCTGGTTTATGAGGCTATTTGCTCAGAGATGTGGGGCCTTGACGTGCACTCCGGTGGTTTGCCAGGAGCCCATGAGATCTAAAAAGCCAAACAACTGGGGCTGGCCCCGTGGCCGAGTGGTTAAGTTCGCGCGCTCCGCTGCAGGCGGCCCAGTGTTTCGTCGGTTCGAATCCTGGGCGCGGACATGGCACTGCTCGTCAGACCACGCTGAGGCGGCGTCCCACATGCCACAACTAGAGGAACCCACAACGAAGAATACACAACTATGTACCGGGGGGCTTTGGGGAGAAAAAGGAAAAAATAAAATCTTTAAAAAAAAAATAAAATAAAATAAAAAGCCAAACAACAAAAAGCTGTCATCCTGGGATGGAGCTAAGTGCAGATGAGCAGACAACATGTTACTCATTCAAGATACAAAGCGGAACATGTAAGCAAGAAGCATCAAATTGTGAAAATATTAGTAGGTTTCCTAGGAAGCTCATAGTCTTCTGGGAACCGTTTAAGAATTAATGGGAAATAATCCACTGCCTACCAGAATTCAAGTACTAAGGATTAATTTGGTGAAATACAGTAAAACCTCCTAATAATGCGAATTGAAATGCAGGAGTCAATCAGCCCCCACCCCTGGTCTCGTTTCCTTACCTCCCAACAGCAAAATCCTACACTTCACACAACTGAATTCTTTAGACCTCACTTAAAAGGTTAACGAGGGTTTTACTGCAGGAATCAAGGTCCAGCACAGGTGAGTGCTGGGCACCGTCCTTTCCTCCTTGCTCTGCTTCCCGCTGACACAGTTGATCACGGGGGAAGCACGCAGCTTCTCCCGGCTCTGGCCCGGTTTCCCAAGGAGTTCACTGGAAAGTTCTGTTTGCCGCCTGCTCCTCCAACACTGAGGACTGTGCTTTCTTTACGAGGCAGCTGGTGCCAAAAGAACTTAGGGAAAACTTGATTTATTTTAATAATGACTCTTTTATATAATGTAGTCAATGTTGTGCAGTTCATAAAGAGCTTTTAAACACATAATCCTAAATAGTTCTTACAACAGGCTTGTAAATTACCACTTTTATCCCCATGTTATAGATTGGAAAACTGATGCTGAGAAAGGTTAACTGTCTCAGCTGGAGTCATAAAACCAGTAAGAGGCAGATCCACAGTTCCCATCTGACCTTCCAACTTCAAGTCCAAAGGTTTTTCGTTTACATTACACCTGTTGTCTGGATGCTTTTCCTTATTTCCACTGAAAAATTGAAATGCTTACTTTCAAAACTCATTGCTTTTACAGTATAGCTGAAATTCCTAAACCTTAACTTTTGAAATTTTTGCAACTTTCAAATCAGTTATTATAATTTGACCTCTTTGACTAATCCAGAAGGGACTCCCTTCTCTGTTCCTTGTTTACTCTAGTTCTTTAATCTCATCCCAAAGAGAAAGACACTGGCCCTCATGTGAAAGTTCGATCCACTTCAGATGGACTAACTGTAGAAACCAAGGTCACGAATCTATAAAATATTTGTATTCTGACACTAGCTTTTTATCCCCAAACTTCTTATAAGTTTTGTAGCAAAGCTTTTCCAGGGAGTACAAAATTTTGAAACAAAGTCAGGAGTAAATAACTGTATTTCTTATAGCTGTGATTCCCGAAGCACATGCAACACAAAATCATAGCATAAACTACAGAAGATTTTAATATTACTAAACTCTTTCCAATTTATTTTATCAAAGTAATACATCCATAATTAAATAAGTCAAAACTAAGACACAGATCTCCCCTTCTATACACAGCACCACTCTCCAAAGGAAATAATGACAATATTTCTAGATATGTGTTTCTTTTGGAATGAGTCTTTCTATTCCTAATTATTATGTTACTGATGCCATTTTTCTCTTTCGTATACTTTAAACATTACCTGTAGATTTTTTATTACATTATATAGAGATTTAGCTCTCTGGAGCCAACAAACCTAACTTTCTCCCTCTACCCATCTTATGTGGTTATATCTTAATTTTTATTAAATTACTATTCAGTGTGTAAATTATTCTAAGGAAATGCTGAACACTGAGTCTGTCGTATGATTATGTTTCTTTTCACAGAGATTTTTCTAATTTGTCAAATACTGCAATTCCAGTCCATTTGGTTAATTTTTAATGTCCTTATCACAAATTCTTCCCAATGACTCTAACAGTCTCCCAGCATGATTTTCCACAAAACCAAAGGCAATGGATAATCCATGAATTCCGTTTTTTTCCTCTGTAAAGGTCCTTATTCCAGGCTGGCAGAGTTCTAGAACTTTATTCAGCTCCTGTCCCGGCTTCCTTCTGTCACTCTTGCCAAAGAGCACTCAAGAAGTAAATCACTTCTTTATTTCTTGCCTGTGTTTTGTGTGTGCTCCTGTGCGTGTTTATTCCACACACACATTTGGTTGACAGTTGAGCCGAGAAGGAGATCCCAGGTCAGAAATCGTTGCCTCTGTGTCTCATGGCTTCCAGAATGGCTGTTGAGAAGTCTGACACCATTCTGAATTCAGTCCTCTTCACAGGACCTGTTTCTGGTCATTAATTTGATAGTCTTTCTCTGTCTTTCTGCCAGTTCTGAGGGCCTCCCTCCGTCCTCGGCACAGCAACACTTCACCACGCCTGGTCTCTGTGGATCTTCCTCCATTCCCTGCCAACCTACAGGTCCCAATCTTTCCACGCTCATCACTTTGTGTATTATTTATTTGGTAATTTCTTCCCTTCTATTTTTTCCTATTTTTTCTGCAACTCCTATTATTCAGATAGTGGACCTTCTGCAATAATCTACTAATTTCCTTATCTTTTCTATTTTCCATCTTTTTGTTGTTTGTTCTACTGTCTGGACAATTTGCTCAACTGTACTTTCTAAGCCGTCTTTCGAGTTAAGTTCTCTGCTCTTTCTTCCTCTGAACTTCTCTTCTCAGAACACTCTGCTCTTGCTTCATGGTTACATTTTTTTACCACTCTGATGATATTAATGTCAATTTTTAAAATTTTCTTCTCTCTGTATTGCCTCTATTTCCTTCAAGTTTCTTTATTCTAATTGTTTGCCTTGGTTTCTGTTTTTTTGTGGTAGAAGATTTCCTCAAACATGTAGTAAGCCTTGGCTACTCAAAATCCATTTTTAAAACTGGCTATTTAAAAGCATACTTAAAATCAAGGCAATAAAAACTGGTTGGAAGCTCCATATTCCTGGGCAGAGCTTACCGACTGCTGGGCTCCACTGCAGAATACTCCAGCTGGACTGTCTTCTTAGTCCGAGGACTGACGTCAATGTTTCAGGGTTCTTTCCTTGGGTTAGTGTGCTACACCCCCGTGGCTGCTGTAACAGATGACCAGGAACTTGGTGGCTTGAAACAACAGAAATGTCCTCTCCACGGACCTGGAGGCCAGACGTCCCCGTCAGGGTGTGGGCGGGGTGGGCTCCCTCTGGGGACCCCGAGGGAGAATCTGTTCCATGGCCCTCTCCCAGCTTTGGGGCTGCTGGCACCCTGGGTGCCCCTTGGCTGGGTTCCACGGGGACAGTCCCTGCCTCCGTCTTCACTCAGCCTTCTTCTTCTCTGTCTGTGTCTTCTTGCTGTCTCTCGTAAGAATACTCATCACTGGATTTAGGGCC